CAGACAATCTCGGTTCGATTCTCAGTCAGGGTACATGCCTGGGTTGCTGGCTGGTTCCCTGCAGGCTGGTTCCCAGCAAGGGACGCACAAAAAGCAACCATACATTGATGTTTCTCTCCCTCTCTCCTTCCCCCCTTCCCCTCTGAAGATAAATAAATAAAATCTTTTAAAAAAATCTCTTTATATAAATGCTGAACATCACCTGTTGCTTTGTGAATTAACAAATGTAAAAACACAAATTGCCCATGTATTTCTCAAATTACTCAAAGAATGATATTCTAACAGAACACCGAATTTGAGAATGAAATCAGTCCATAACATTGGTGTTTGTTTGAAGTGTGGCATTGCTTATATTATTATGTGTTAAGCAAAAAACTGCCATTAAGTAAATTACAGGGTAGTGACATGTCTAAATGGTTGGTAACAAAGTATAACTTCAGGGCACTATTTGACCTCCATGGTTGACCCTCCAAAAATGTTTAGTTTGATCAGAGTAATGCACTGAAACAAACAGGCATATAGTTTTAAGGAAAAAGAAAAGAAAAAGAAAAATTCTATGCCAAAACGTACCTGGGAGCAGATGTGTGCACTAGCTTGGGGACCAGGCTTTGTGTTAATAAGGAAGAAAGTGGGATTCACAAAGCCATGGTCAAGCCATAGTGGAGAGGAAAAGGAAGAAAGCATGCATTTACTGAGTACCTAATATGTGCTAGGCTGGCTCTGTGCTGATATTCAACATTAAACATCACAAAACCCTTAGAAAATTCTTAGGAGGTATTATTATCCGCATTCTTCCTCAAAAAGGAACATTCAGAAGAACCCATGGCGGGAGGCGACCCAGCTACATCAGACACTTGCTTCTCCTCCTCTGCTGTGCAGACAGTGGGGAAGTGGGGAAGAGTCCAGGCTTTGCAGTCAGGCTTTGCAGTCAGGCTGTCTGTCTGTCTCAGAGGCAGCCTCAGCCACCTAGCAGCTGTGGGACCTTTTGAGCCCATGCGTGCATCAGCATCACCCCACAAACCCTGCAGCAGATTTCCTGCCCTCACGAGTTGGCATCTCATCGACCTTCAAAGCCTCCCAACAGCCTCAGATGCACAGGTCGATCTAGTTTTCATCTTGCTCTTCTTTCCAGGTTTGCTTTATGAAGGCAACAAAGATCCCCCCTCAAAGGCAGGTGCATAATTTGTGAGACCCGTTGCAAATCCAAGGGCAGAGTCCTTGTTTAGGAAGCAGAGAAACGATGCCGTTAAAGGGACTAAAACCATTTAGCTTTTCTTCTGTGGCCTCTCGACTTCCCATGATGCCTTGTATTTATTATTTATGTGAGAATACATTGAGAAAAAATTAAAATATTAAATTATGAGCATGGGTTTTACCATTCTTTTTTTAATCCTCACCCAAGTATACTTTTTTTTTATTTTTAAAGAAAGAGAAAGAGAAACAGAGAGGGAGAGAGAGAGAGAGAAACATTGTTGTGAGAGAGAAATGTCAATTACCAGTGACCTCCCAGAATCGAACTGGTGACCTTTTGGTGCACAGGACACACAAACCAACCAAGCCACACCAACCAGGGTATCGTTCCTTTTTATATCACTCAAGACCAGTTTTAAATGCAAATATAAGAGCTTTTAATTCATATGCAGAGTCACAGAAATTACACAGTTGTTATTTCATAGCTTGTACAGGCACACATTCTGCTTTCTTATCAGAACAGTAGAACAGTAAACAGAATTGTCAACTGTGTCTATTTCACACACACACCCTCCCCCCATGGATGAACATTCTGTCAACACAACCTCCAGCTCACTATTGGGTAAGGAAGCACAGAAAGAAGAGGAAAAGGAAAAGGAAGGGCAGAAAGGAAAGGAAAGAGAAGATTTCTTGGTCATTCACATTTATTAGACCACTAGTGCTTTTCTGTGCTTAAAGCCAATTCTGGTTCAGCTGGAAAGCGTGGCCTCCCAGAATTGTCAGCAACCCCACCTCCTCAGTTGTTAGATGAACATACTTTTCTTATACTCATTTTGAGTCTCAGTGAATTCCCAGGGTTGTGGGAATTCTCTTCTCCTGGGGTATCACAGACACTGCATGTGAATGACATAGCAAGAAACAACAAACATTGTATATCACCGCTTTCCCACTCATGATCCATCGTTCCATGGACCTCACTTTCAGAATGAAGTTCAAAGAATTTCCAGCAGTCACAGCAGAGCATTAAACCAGGGCCCTAGTGCAGGTCCAAGTCCCTGAAATATGTCCTCCTTCCAGGCATCAGCCCTGGCAGTCAACTGCTTTTCTTTCTCTTATCTACCCCATCAGGCACAACCAAGGTTGACACTAAGGGAAAGTCTGGAATGACAGAGGGAAGGAAAACAACTCTGATAGACCTGTGGGCTGTAAATAAGATGTTATCATCTGCTTGGTAGTCCGAGTGGCCCCCTGGCTCTCCTTGGAGCCGCTCCTCCTGTGCTCTCCAAGCAGGGGCGTCTGTACCCTGAAGTCGGCCCCTCTGCCCAGCCGCTCCCTTCCTCGGCTCCTAACCCCACGACTGACCCTGCCTTTGACCTGGTTCTTTGAACCAGCTTCTTCAGGACCACCCTCCCACTCTCCTTCTTCCTCAACTCCTCACTCCAAATTGATCTGTTCTTTCACATCATCCTTCCAGATTACAGGCAAATGCCCCTCTTTTCTCTGTCATCTGTGTCACTGTTTTTATTTATTTAGAGCTTATTATTATTTTCTCTCCTGAGTCACTTGAATGACCTTCCACCAAGACTCCTTACTTGCCTCCCCTCAACACGACAATGAGATTCTTCTAAAATCCAGATCTAATATAATTGTCCTATTCAAATCCTTTCATGGCTCCTGAAAGTCTGGAGCAAAATATTTAAATCCTCTATTGTCATATGTCAGGCCCTTAAAGACGCGGCTATTTCTGCCACAGACACTAAGTCCCAGCAGGCGCAGCGCTGGGCAGCTCTGTGGGCATATCCGTCCTCTGCTCCTGCTGGTTTTTCTGCGATGTTAGTAGTTCCCTCCGCTTTGACTGGCCCTCTTCAGCCCTTCCCCTTTCCTTATCTACCTAACAAATTCTTGTTTGTCATTTTATGGGTTAGCAAAGAAACCAACTGAAAAACAACCTCCTTTTCAATTTCCTAACACTTCTGCCCGCCCCATCTTGATGACTGCCTCCCACGAGTTGAGATAAACCTCCTGTGTCTTCCCAACCAGGCTGTGGGGACCTTCGGGTTTCTGCATGAAATAAAATAAGCTGCCAATCACTGGAGGAAGAAGGAATGGCAAGATAGGTGGGAAAGAAGGGATGGCTCAAACAAATCTGCTCTCCAAGCACCTCACAGTTCAGCTGGCAGAACACTGTCTCCATTCTCACCATCCCAGACGATTAGGAAAAGAATTTTGATGCCCACTAGAATCTCTCAAAAAGATTGCCATTCACAACCCACAGAAAAATCTTTTATAATTCTCCTCTCCAGCGCTCTCTTCCTAGGACTTCCGCGTCTCAGCAGATGCCTGAGAGACTGTCTTCTAGCTCTCATGGTGGTTTTTCTCTTTTCCGCCTAACTACCTTCCTGAATCTGTGTTTTCTCTTGGGAGTTCTTTACAGTCTAAATATACAACCCAGCTCACCTGCTGCAACATTGCAGATGGGAAGAAATCACCAGAGACAGAGAGATATTTGCTGTTAGTTCCTAACATGTTTAGTCATTGATAATGGCATTTAACACGGTGGCTCTCAACCCAGGCTCTATATTAGACTCACCAAAGGAGCATCCAAAAATAACCCAGCTCAGGGCCCATGGCAGAGAAACCAGAAAGACAAAGGCAGAGTTCAAGCATCTCTAAATGATATTTCTGTCACGTGTTTTCCAGTGCCTTAGAAAGCCCCCCTCGCTACTGTACCTGGAAGCCCCGTCCCTGCAGATCTCTCTCTCCTTTACCTGGATCGGCCTGACAGCAGGAGCCAAGGGAGCAGACAAGGCGTCACCCTCAAAAGTGCAGGAAGGGGAGGCTGTATGTACTGATAACAAATTTTGTCTGTACCCAGAAACTGACTCCTGTTTTTTGTCCTGTGATTAAACCTTTTACTTCTCTGAGGTCATTAAACTCTTCTTCCAAGCAGAAGTCCTTGCCTCAATTCCCTACCTGCAACACGCCTTTCAGAAACTGGGTGATGTTTTGGGATCCCTCTTCCCTGACAATAAACCTTTTGTCTCCACCTAGCTCTAGAATCTCAGCCTTGACCTAAGTGTGGTCTGCCCACCTGCAGGGTCTTATACCATTAGCCATCTCAGAGCTTCTTAATACCCCCCAAAACTACTGCCAGGACCTTCCCCTGGTGCCTGAGGCTAGATTTCTGCCAACCATCTTCCTGTTTCATTGGATCTCTATTAGCTGTGCCCAAGTCCTCTGGGTACTGCAATTCACTGTGCTGTGCGGTGGCCCCGCACAGGAACAACCCGCCTTTCACTAGTCACTCTGGCATGGTCACAAGCTTCTGCAATAGAATGAAGGTAACATTCCCTGAGCAACGATAGAAAGATCTTTTTTATACTCCCCTCAAACCATGGAGAGCACTCCTAAGCTGACACTCCGTTATCTCAATTGTTTGAATCTCCTTAACTACCAGATCAGTTTTACTCCACTGTAGAGGCCTACTTGTTGTAAAGTACACACTGAATTTTACTTAGAAAAAAAAAAGAGCTTTTAATTCCAAATTTTTTAGGTATTAATTTTTCCCTGTGTTGACCAGAACCCTCATGGCTTAAAAAAAAATAAAAATAAAATAGAACACTTCATAGTGCTCCGTTTCTGTGGGTGTGAACAATAGTGCCCAGTCACACACACACTTGAGTGTTGTTGAACGGTGCGACGTCTAACTTCCTGCACTGCTCTAGAACCCAGAAGCAGACCTAGAATGCGGCTGACCAGACCCCCGGAATCCTCCCTGCGAGCCCGCGCCACGCGTCTTCTCATTCCAGGGCTGGATGGCGATGACTTCCTGGCTGTAGGCCTGCGCGATGGCAGCGTGGTGTACAGTTACAACCTGGGATCCGGCGCAGCGAGCATCAGCAGCGACCCTCTTGACCTGAGCCTCGGGATTCACACGGTCCGTCTGGGGAGGCTCTTCCAAAGGGGCTGGCTGAAGGTAAAAAGTCATTCCTTCGTCTGTCCCACAGACTCAGTGCTACCTCACTGTCGGGTCTGTGCGGCGGTGCAGAGGTGACAGGCCGTGCTGCCTGCTGCCACGAAGTCACAGATCAGTGCACAATATGGAGGACAAGAGGGATGATTGCAATTAACTGGTGCGGGAATAAATAAGGGGGATGACTGACTTAAGCATTCAGGAAATGCTTCCCCAAACAAGTGATGCATAAGCATAACTTCAAATAAACAGCTGTTTGGAAAAAAGAACAATGGCTGGTGTGGGCTTAAGAAATGCAAGTAGTCGGTTTGGCTTCCAGGTGAGGAGAAGCAAGAGAGGTGAGGAGAAGTGGACGGGAAGGGTCTACACCATCAAAGGACTTAGATGTCACGCTAAGAAGTTTAGATTTTTACCTATGGAGCTATAGAGAACCACTGAGAAATGTAAGAAGGGAGGGCGGATAGCATAGTCATTTTCATTTTTTGATAAAAGACTGGTTGTTGCATGAGAATAGACAAAAGAGCAAAGCAAGGCTAGATGGAGGAGGACAGTCAGGATGCTGGCTCCCAAATCTGTGAAGAACTGTGACTTTGATTAAAATGCAAAGCCATGACTGCTATATTAATATAGCTGTGGTAACAGACACCAGCAGAGAAGCAAGAAATTGAGTGGTAAAGTGTTTTTTATTTCTTCAAAAATTCAGGTTTTTATTAATTTTTCATGCCAAGTTAATGGGAAATAAGAGTATCATACCAGTTCACCTTGGAGAATTAATTCCTTTTTTAATAGATTCTGATTTTTTTCCTTTCAAGGTAGATGATCATAAAAATAAATCCATCATCTCCCCAGGAAAACTGGTTGGTCTCAATGTCTTCAGCCAGTTTTACGTAGGTGGCTACAGTGAGTACATTCCACATCTCTTGCCACATGGAGCAGATTTTAAAAATGGCTTTCAAGGTAAGACATGGATGATTTTTACACTACACCCACTTGTTTCAAAATTTGAGAAAAGAAAGTACTTTTAAAAAGTATACTTCTAGTTCCTAAACCAGCTATGTGGATTGCTTTCTAATTGAACTTGATCAAAGTTTGATTTTAGTGGAAAGCATTCATTCTTATTAACCCCTTACTTCCTAGGTGCTAGGTGCTTAGGATGTTTCAGTGAAAATAAAAAATCCTAACATTCATGCGTTTACATTCTACTTGGTCAAAGGAAGGAACAGATAATAAACACTAAATATAATAGGACAATAAATTCTGTGGGGCAAAATAAAGAAAAAGTAGAGTGATTTTTTTTTATATAGAGGGCTTTTTGATATGGGTTAAGTAGTGTAGACCTCATGGAGTCACATTAAAACTGAAATTCCATCCAACTTTGCAATGTAGTTGATATAAAAGATGAGTGACAGACTGCAGCCAACCAATCCATACCACGGAGGTGTGGTCCTGTTACCAGGGAGACCCGAGTTAGAGGACTCCCTCGCCTCGGTTCTTGCCTTGCTCACAAGAAACTTCAGGCAAGCACCAAGCTAGTCTGAATGCCCCACGTGTAGAAGAAACAAAGTTTTTAGTAAGTTTGTTCTATACACTTGAGCCCAAAATACAAGTGGGCGCCCAGCTAATTTGGGTGCCCTATCAACTATCAGACTCCAGGAGTTATATACTTTAGTCAGCTTCTAGGTACCCCCTCCTTCTCTCCCTTTCAGACCTTGGGATTAATATACTGTTACAAAGGCTTCCTTTCCCAGCTACGTAGCTGAAAGGTTATACACAGAATTTCAAGGGCTCCCCTCCTCCTACACTATCACAGTTTTGCTTGTGATGTTTGGAACTCCTGGCAATCTTACTGGACCAAGCTCAGGACTGCTGAACCACTGGGTGAAAACTGTCTCCTTTTGTTTCCAGCCTCTTGTTTTAAGTTCTTCATTAGACTGCACTGGGCAGGGCCCCTGCTTTATTTCCCCTCCAGCCACTCATTTCTAGCTGCCACCTAACAGTCCCACAGAGGCCACCAGAAACCAAAAGATTTAAGACCCAATGCCATGCTTGGGTAAGTAATCGGTTCACCATAGTCTGTCTTCCAGTGTTCAAAATGGAACATTCAGTCTTCCTTATAAAGGTGATTCATAGTAGAGTTATAAAATAAACACATGCTTTGAATTGTTATAATAATGCATTTATTGAAAATAACCTCTTTGGTGGATTCCTAGTCCCAAAATATTCAGTCAAGGGGCTACTCATTACAGAGTCCTGAGCTGCTCACCCATGACCAGCCCAGCCTCTATCAGCAATCAAGGAAGGGTGACCAGGATGTGATACATGTCCCCGTGAGACATCAAAAGCCATTTTAGGCACTCGAGTTCCCTGCCTGCCTGGCATCAACCTTCTCCCCACCTTCAGTGACTTCTCTGCCCAGTGACGCAGAGGGGCCATGTGCTTGAAACATACAAAAGCAACATAGCCGATCCAATACAATACAAGGTCAGATTTCGATAAAATTAGTTCATTGTGCCAAGGCTCTCAAAGAAACTTTTTCTTTGAATGTGTAATCAGGGCTGATCCTTGGTTTGAAGACTATTAAGGCAGTCAGGTAAAAAAAATCAAGAGCTCAACAGTTCTTTCACAGTGGGAGACAATCTGAAAAGGATTGTAAGGGCATAACAAATCAATGAGTTTTTAAAGACATTAAGTTCAAGGAAAAGGATGGATTAACTTAAGAATGTGTAAGCAGCACATCTTCCGCTCAATGAAACAGAGGCTCCTTGGGGTCACCACAACCTGCTGCCATTTAATCACAGGCATGAGCCTTCCACAAATACTCTGGATGTAGCATCAAGGACAACATCATGGACTCTGGAACCCAACTGCCTGGGTCTGCATCTCAGCTCTGCCACCAGCCAGCTTCACGGCCCTGGCTAGGAACCGCCCTGTGCCTCGCTGGGCCTCATCTGTAAAATGGGACAGTAACAGTACTTGTCTGGCTTGTAGTTCTGAGAGTGAGTTATAGAAAGAGAACACAGATTACTGACTGGCTTAGAGTGTTCCCTGTGTTCCCGAGGATGGTGGTGCTGCTGGCGGGAGGTGACCCAGCTCCAGTCACACAGTAGGTGAGAGCACAGTCCCTCCAGGCTGGCTGTCTCCAGACTCGGGCCCTGCAGCCTGGCAGCCATGTCACTCTGAGCTTTTTATTTAAACTCTCTGAGCCGCCATATTCTGTAAAATAAAAACACCTACCCCAGAGGGTTCTTGTGAGTTGGTCAAGTAACTACAGTAATGTTAACTGCTCAACCCACAAAGCAGCAGTACATGATAAACACTCAATAAATATTAACCAATATCAGGGCTCCATCCAGTTGGCAGTGGACTTGACAGTTTCAAATTGACTAAAGTCCAATGCTTCCTGGTTTCCTGGTGTGTTTTTTTGCCCTTCTGTTAGGAACTTTTCTTCACATCTTGACAAGGAGAACGAAGGGAAGCTTTCTGCAAAACTTCTTTCTGTCATCTTCTCCTGAAGTGTGTTAATGAGGCTGAGTTCCGCACAGTAACAGCTGGCCCTTCCTGTGAGAGAAATGCTAGGATTTCCCCCCATCTGGAGAGAGGCATGTCGGCTGCTGTGGTCCTGAGTTAAGGTGCAAATCCTGGGAGGGTCTTCTTGGGAACTGCCACTTAATCCACAATCTTATGGAAGCTCCAGGTCCTTAGAAGCCCCTGATTTTATCGTTTGTCTCAAATTCTTGCTTCATGTCTGCCTCTCCTTCATTAGAAACTAGCATTTACTATATACTACAAATTATGGACAATTATTACCAACCTACCATAAAGAGCAGATCACAACTATACGATCAACCTATGAGTCCCCCAAACTGATCTCTATTGGCTCTAGAGAGTGATACAGGGTGACTGCTTTAAAATACCAGTTTCTGAACTCTACCCCAGAACTACTTAATTGAAATTTCTAGGAGGGCATCTAACAATTTGCATTTCACAAAGCCTTTCCAGATCTGGAAATCACTACATTAATTAATCATGCCAAAGCAAATAGACTTATAGAAGAATTTAGTAACTAGTCTTATCCTAGCCTAATTATTAAATTCTGACATCACTAAAACATATAAATAAGGCCTAATTATTGTTCTTTAGAATGGGGGTTAAATCATACACAGTATCTGATTTAGGCTTTCGTGTTTCTATAAACACTCCTGATCACTGACTCTAATCCCGAAGTTCTCGGCAGTCTAAAATACAAATCTCCAAGTCGCATCAATTACCAAGGTGCAGGATTCTCATGTTGAGGGTCAGAGGTGGGCTATAGTGGGTTCCTGAGCCTCCTGAAATCAACTGTGTGTGCCCGTGTGCATTTTTCTAGAAGGTCCATAAATTTCATCAGTGTTCTAAGATCATTTACTTTCTCTGACAGACCTACTAGCCCGGATATAGAATTAAAAATTGCTTTTGACTAATGTGAACATGGGGAAATCTGTTACCCCATCCACCTACTATTCTAGTGTTCCCGCAATTAGTGTTCATTGATAGAGGAATAATTAAATACTTATTACTCAGCTGAATACAGTGAACATAACCTAGACTCAGATTCACAACCACACTGTGAAGATGTGTTATTCTGTCCGATAGTGCCCTACCTTGTCAGTATGGTCAGTTTTTTGCTAGTTCAATTTTTCTCTCTCTTTTTTAATTGCATGAGACTTTTCAAAAGAGTTCATCAGAGGAAAAATGATTTTATGGCAATAATTTAAATATTCTCTTACTGTCAAAAAATCCATTGCTTATTTGGAACTTAGCCAGTCTGAATGGCTCTAAAATTCTTTATTATAACTACTATATCACATGCAAGATATATGTATTGAATACCTGTTGCATCATTCTATACGAAGCAGATTACATTTTATCTGTTATATTAATAGGAGTCAAATTATACAATATACATTCTACAAATGGCTGCAAGTATAATTGCCTTTAAATTGGTGATATGTTGACTGAGAAGAAGCATTTCTCTAAAATAAACACATTTAAATATTTGTAGTTGCTAAATATTTCTCAAATATAGCATTGCCATATTTTTAGTCAGAAACATATTTTAGCAGTTCCTCATAATGAAAGTATTTCTTATCCATATAAAAGAGAAGAGATTTAAAATGAACAGTTTCAGACATTAATAATACATTTAACAAAGTTTTTTGGTGCACAGTTATAAAAACTACAAAACCTACTATTAGCATCCTACAATTTTTTGTTAAAAATAATTTTTTAATAAAGGAAATGAAGGATTTCCGCCCTGACCAGTGTGGCTCACTGGGTTGTATGTTGTCCCGCAAAGCAAAATGTCACCAGTCTGATTCCCAGGCAGGGCACACGACTGGGTTATGGGCTTGGTCTCAGTGGGTGCGTGTGCAAGAGGCAACCAATTGATGTTTCTCTCTCACATGGACATTGCTCTCCCTTTCTTTCTCCCTCCCTTCCCCTCTCTCTAAAACTAAAATAAAGAAAATCTTCTAAAAAAAGGATTTCTGAGACAGTATGGTAGAGGGTGGGGTTGGTGGGTAAAATACAAGATCCGGCTGCCAGGCGTTACAACGGGCCAGTTCATCCATGTTATCTTATTCCTCTTAACCCATGGAGTATTTTTGTCACCATTTTAAAGGTGAAAAGATTGGCACTCAGATTTGGATCATCTAGCTATTATGTGGGAGAGATTGTAATTGAACTTGGACCCACCTGACTTCAATCCTCTCTTGCTCTCTGCTGAGTACCTTTGAGTCTGCAGAAGCCGTGGAAAACCCAGCTGTGTTAGTCTAGCAATCTGGTTATTCAGTATAAAGCAGCTAGCATTCATTCATTCATTTCTTCATTCAGTACACTATATTAGTGCTTTTTTGTGTAACATTAGGTGGCTTGGGGAAAGAAAAAAGATTAAATCTAAGGAAGAAAATTACAATTCTCTCATAATGAGACACTACTGGTGCATGCTTTAAGAATTGTGCTTGTTAGTGAGAATTATGTTAAAAAATAAACTCTTGACCTTTCAAGAGTTTAACCCATTCTTCTTCACCAAGAGAAATTATTCCATCCTTTTAGCTTCGAAAACTGTTTTCCAAGTAAAATCTGATCTAGCCTGTCTTTTATTATTTTCAAGACCCTATTTATGGTTAATGTCCATATGGATTTGAAACTACATCATAAACTCTGAGTAAGTGCCGAAGGAAATGAATAAAATTATATTTCAGTATCCTAAACAATTCCATAAATTATGCATTGAACTGCCCTTTTGTTTATATTTATTTAATGTTGGGGTAGAAAGGACCCTTTTTCCAAATGTACTGAGGTCTAATTGACAAATAAAAATGATGTATGTTTAATGTGTACAACGTGATGATTTGGTATACGTACACATTATGCAGAGAGTACCACAATCAAGTTCATTCGCACATTCATCACCTAACAGTCAGTTTTTTGTGTGTGTCTCTGGTGAGCACATTTCAGATCTACTTGCTCAGCAAACTTCAGGTGAAGTTAACTGCACTCACACCCTGCACATCGGATCCCAGGACCTGCTCGTCTTTGACCTGGAAGTCTGTGCCCTGTGACCAGTAGCTCCCCACTTCCCCCTGCACCAGCCCCTGGCACCCACCATTCTACTCTGCTTCTATGGGGTCAACCTTTTAAGATTCCAGATATAAGTGAGGTCATACATTACGTGTCTGTAAAAGACCTTCCTAAGGAAAAATGCAAAATCCATGGAGGAAAAATAAGGTAAATGTGGCAACATATTATAAACTTCTCCACGTGAAAATAAAAACTTCACCATAAGCAAAATTAAATAGCAAATATTAAACTGGAGAAAGTATTTAAAATGGACAACAAACAGCTAATATGCTCATTAGAGAAAAACAATATATAATAAGCAATGAAAAATTACAAATGACTGATAATTTTAAAAGATGTTCAACCCCAATCAAAAATAGTAGAAGAGTTTGCATTTTATAGTTTATTTCATTTAAAGATGAGACAGCCCTCGCCAAGTGGTGCAGTTGGTTGGAGCCTCGCCCTGTGCACTAAAAGGCCACAGGTTCCATTCCGGTCGGGGCACACGCCTAGGGGGCAGGTCTGTTCTCCAGTAGGGGCACGGATGGGAGGCAACTGACCGGTGTTTCTCTTTCACAGAAATTTTTCTCTCTGTGTGTCTCTACCTCCCCACCTTCCTCTCTCTAAAATCAGTGAGCATATCCTCAGATGAGGATTTGATTTTATTTTACTTTATTTTATTTTGAAATATGGATACTTGTCTTATTCTTTTTTTTAATTCTTCTTACTCTTTTTTTATTGTTGTTCAAGTACAGCTGTCTGCCTTCCCCCGCCCCACCCCCAACCCATGGGTTTATTCTAAGTAATTGAAAGCCACTAAAAGAGTTTAGCCTGGAGGATGACTTCATCAGATTTGATTTTATTATTTATTTTTGTTTTTTAAGTATATTTTATTGATTATGCTATTAGAATTTTCCCATTTTTTGTTCCCTTTATCCCCTTCTGCCCTGCACTCCCCCTCCCACCAGCATCCCCAACCCCTCTTAGTTCATGTCTATGGGTCATACATATAAGTTCTTTGGCTTCTACATTTTCTATACTATTCTTAACTTCCCCCTGTCTATTTTGTACCTACCATTTATGCTGGATCATTTACGGATCATTTCCCCCATTCTCCCTCTTCTCTCACCACTGGTAACTCTCCATTGGATCTCCATTTCTGTGATTCTGTTCCTGCTCTAGTTGTTTGCTTAGTTTGTTTTTGTTTTTGTTTTTAAGTTCAGTTGTTGATAGTTGTGAGTTTGCTGTTCATAGTTTTGATCTTCTTTTTCTTAGATAAGTCCTTTTAACATTTCATATAATAAGAGCTTGGTGATGATGAACTCTTGAACCTGACCTTATCTGGGAAGCACTTTATCTGCCCTTCCATTCTAAATGATAGTTTTGCTGGATAGAGCAATCTTGGACGTAGGTCCTTGCCTTTCATGACTTTGAATATTTCTTTCCAGCCTTTTCTTGCCTGCCTTTAAGGTTTCTTTTGAGAAATCAGCTGATAGCCTTATAGGAATTCCTTTGTATATAACTCTCTTCTCTAGCTGCTATTAAGATTCTCTCCTTATATTTAACCTTGGGTAACCTAAGTATGATGTATCTTGGTGTGTTCCTCCTTGGGTCCAATTTCTTTGGGATTCTCTGAGCTTCCTGGACTTGTATGTATATTTCCTTTGCCAGATTGGATAAGTTTTCTTCCATTGTTTTTTCAAATAAGTTTTTAATTTCTTGCTCTTCCTCTTCTCCTTCTCACATCCCTATGATTCAGATATTGGAATGTTTAAAGTCGTCCCAGAGATTGCTAAACCTCTCCTCATTTTTTTTTTGAATTCTTCTTTCTTCATTCTGTTCTGGTTCAATGTTTATTTCCTCCTTTTGTTCTAAGTCATTGATGTGAGTCCCAGTTTCCTTCCCTTCACTGTTGGTTCCCTGTATATTTTTCTTTATTTCACTTTGTATACCCTTCACTTCTTCCTCTATTGATTGACCAAGCTTAATCAATTCTATGAGCATCCTGATTACTAGTGTTGTGAACTCTGCATCTGATAGGTTGGGTATCCCCTCCTCACTTGGTCCTATTTTTGGAGTTTTGATCTGTGTCTTTATTTGGCCCATATTTCTTTGACTCAGCACACCTGTTACATTATAAGGGGCAGAGGCTTAGATATTCACCAAGGCGGGGCAACTCTCTTCACTGTGTTGTGGTGCTGTATGAGGGGAGGGGTCACAGAGCGAACAGTGCTGCTTGCTTAGCTCTCGCCCTGCTTTCAGTCACTTCCTCCACTACCCACAAGTAAATTTGGCCCTTCTGGTGCTGATTCCTGGGTGGGTGGGTTTGTGCACATTCTAGGACCCCATGTGTCTCCCAGATGAAGATTTTTAAAAAATGAAACAGATAATATTCTCTTGCACTGAGGTGCCTGTGAAGCAAGTATCCCAATACAGTGTAGGGGAGATATAATTGTGCAAAATATCTATGACACTTGGAGCATTTGTATCTTTTTCCCTAGTAGTTTTAATTCTGGAAATTTATACTAAGAAAATAATTAGCAAATGCACAAAAATATACCTACAATAATATTTATTATAACATTATTTCTAATAACAAAAAGATTAAAATGTGTCAATTTCTCAATAATTGAAGGTTAATTAAATACTTTATATATAAGACAATATTACACCATCATTTAAAAACAGTTAATGTGATAAGAGTTAATGGTATTTATGCCATACAAACCTTTGGTATACTGCTATGTATTATATAATTTAATGAGGATTCTACTTTTGTTTAAAAAAATACAACTATGCATAGAAAACATATTTTTATGTGTTTTTATTTTTACATACTTTATTATTTTCTTAAAATTGACATGGTTATTTTGTGTGTTTAAAATGTTACTTTAAAAATAAGAAAATAACTGTCTTCCTATTTTATTATTTCTTCCACTTTTTACATGAAGTATTTTTCCCTTTTCCAAGGCTGTATTTTCTCCATTCAAGTTCGCACTAGGAAGGATGGCTATTTCAGAAGGCTGGGAAACCCTGAGGGCCACCCAAATGCTGGCCGCAGCGTTGGCCAGTGTGATGCTTCTCCTTGCACTTTAATGAACTGTGGCAATGGTGGGACATGCAGAGACCGTGGATCTACTGTCTAGTAAGTATGACACCAGGAGCGAAAGTAGCAGGTTATTTGCATTGTAACTGGTACTTTACTCCTACAAACTAGGAACACATACTGACCCTCATGTTTTAAATGTTTTCATGTAGACTCGCTAGACAACTAGGAGACAGATAAAGGCAACTAGAGAAGGATCAGCACAGCAGTGATGCCATCTTCTCAGTTCTTTTAAAACAGTGGAAACAAGCCCTGGCTGGTGTAGCTCAGTGGATTGAGCACGGGCCTGCAAACCAGACAATGGCGGTTCGATTCCCAGTCAGGGCACATGCCTGGGTTGCAAGCCAGTTCCCTGCAGGCCACTTCCCAGCAGGGGACGCATGAAAGGCAACCGTACATTGATGTTTCTCTCCCTCTCTCCTTCCCTTCCCCTCTAAAAGATAAATAAATAAAACAAAACAAAAACAGTGGAAACAAATCATTACATCTCATTCCAGTCACCAGTCACCATGGAACACATATCTCAAACTCACAGTCTTCAGAGTGTTACCGGGAATGTTCGTCATACGTGTTGCTATTCCATAGTGCTATTTCCTTTCATGTCCAGGTTGGAGCCCCTTTAAAAAGGGTTGTCCTGTCCAGGTGGAGCCAAGCAAAGCAGCACAATTTAACTTCCGAACCACTTTAGTGTGAAATCCAAATGTGAATGTGTTGAGTGGGGAGAAAAGAGCAAAGGAAAGGTTGTCTTATAAATAACTACTTTTGTCCATCATCTCCTCCGTGCATAAAATAGTATCTGAAGAGCTCTGAGCATTAGCTTTACCATTATGATTCTATCTTCACTCTTTCACAATTTTTTTAGTTTAATGTATTTTTATAGCAAATTTACAGGAACGGCATAGAAGACAGACAAGATTAAAAACATGTACTTGCACAATGACCGGTGTGGCTCAGCTGGTTGGGAACTGCCCTACGGAGAAAAAGGACATGAGTTCAACCCCCAGTCAGAGCACATGCCTGGGTTGTGGGTTCAGACGCTGTCAGAGTGCATAAGAGAGGCACCCAGTCAATGTTCATTGATGTTTCTCTCCTCTCTTTCTTTCTCCTTCCCCTCTCTCTAAAAATAAATAAATAAAAGCTTTTGAAGAAGACACATACTTGCATGCAGAACAATTCAGCATGTATAAAAGTCGAGTGAATGGATGGAATCTACTGTAGAATAAAAGTTCTAAAAACACCATGGAGTTGCCATAAATAAGAAATGTACTTGTTTTTTTAAAAATCCAAATGCAGGCATTGTCCAGAAAAATTTAACATGTTTATTTATAATTGTTGTAAAATGGAACTGCTGAAATTTGTTCACTGAAACATTTGACTTGCATTAAAATGTATATCCCTGTATTTATATATTTTTTAAAGAATCACACACAAATGAACGTGAAAAAAAATGCCAACCCCTGATTTCTGTCCCCTACTTTCCACTTCCAATCAAACACTCAGGTACCTTTTGACCCTATTGTGGGGGAAGGGATATACACAAACACACACATATGATGTTCAGAAGTACCAATAGTAGGAGGAAAAAAAAAAGGGGTTTTTTTTTAAAGAATGAAATGGTTACCATCATAATGGATTCTTAAGCATATTTTCCACGTTGGCAGGGTGCTAGCTGAAACGTCTTTTGGAATAATTGTTACGCGTTTGGCATGGAGAGCACACTGGTTGCTGCCTTCACAAAGGCCAACCAGCAGAGCTCACTTGCCTCCTGCAAAGCACCAAAAGCTGTGCCCTGGAAGCACAGATCTGTTTTGAAGGGCTGAGCAATAACTCACAGCGGATTCTGGAAGGGAAGTTTGAGGATCAGAAGAGAAGTTCAGTGGACTTGCGATAACGTCTGATTTTTCGGAGAGCAGAAGTACCAGGGCTGTAAAGATGAGGTTTCTTCACTTGTCCAGTAGAGGGCACACTCACGCTGGCGGCTTTTACAGCCAGTTGCTTCCTCTGCGCTTTACCACTGGTCGTTGGTAGAGAGTCTGCTTTCTACCTGCAATAATGTGGCGTTACTCCCTTTTCTGGTTACAGCTCCCCAACTAGAGATGGTGCTGGCCTTAGAGAGCAAGGGTGGCATGGTGGCAGCTGCAAGCACCCTACTTTTTAATTTTTTTTTAAGATTTTTATTTATTTCTGTTTAGAGGGGAAGGGAAGGAGAGAGGGAGAGAACCATCAATGTATGGCTGCCTCCCATATGTCCCCTGCTGGGAACTGGCCTGCAACCCAGGCCCTGACTGAGAACCGAACCGTGATCCTCTGGCTCGCAGGCCCACACTCAGTCCACTGAGCCACACCAGCCAAGGCACCCTACAGTTTTTTTTTAATCCTCACCAGAGGATAGTTTTTATTGTTTCATTGCTCTTAAAAAGAGACGGCGGGAAGAGAGAGGAAAAACATTGGTGTTTTCTCTCTGAGAGGAAATGTGAAAGAAACACGGATTAGCTGCCGTCTCTTAACGCCCTGACTGGAGGTGGAACCCACAACCTTCAAGTCCAGGGGAGGAGGCTCTCACCAACTGAGCCACACCACCAGGACCACGCTACAGTTTTTCATGAAGCCTTTCACTTGCTTTATAAGTTATGCAATATCATTTGCTCTCCGACTAAGCTTAATTATATTTGGAAGTACAAATTCACCTCACCTTATCTAAAAAAATGCGGCCATTCTTCAAGTGACTTATTAGGTGTTTTTGTTTTGCTTTGTTTGTTTGTTTTAACTGAGATAATGAATAAGCTCACAATAATAAAGAATGTGACCATAAAGAATGGGAAGTGCCAGTAAAAAAGTTAAGGTGAAGATGCAGGAAGGAAATCCACCCTAACTCCTTATTATCCCGTTTGGAACAAAGGGCCTGTTCCAGCACAAGAGCCACATGTATTGATCCTGGAATACATGGGAATACCTGGTGCCGTGTGGAGATGGACACAACTATTTGAAGATTGTTTTAATCACCACAGAAAGTTTTCTTGACTTGTGATAATAAAAGTAATGTCTTACAGCACTCTGTGGCCAAAAAAAAGCATTTTTATATACATTATTTTCATTGCCCCTATTTATCACTTTCTAAATTCATCTGGGACTATCCTGGCCCCAACTTAAGGCACGGCAAACTAAGCCCAGATTATGATTAAACGAGGACATACCAACATTTTGTAAGTGGCACCACAGGACTCCAAACCCAATCTCCCGGTTCCTGGATCAAGATTCTCTCAGGACCTAACTATTAAGAAATGAATTTAAAAGCAGTTAGCAATTTAGATGACTAGTGTTAAGTACTTCTTATCTGATTAGTGTAATCTATTCATTTATTCTCAGTTTTTTAAAAAATGTTGACGTGCCCTGGATGGTGTGGCTCAGTGGGGTGAGCACTGGCCTGCCAACAGAAAGGTTGCCAGTTCGATTCCCCCTCAGGGCACCTGCCTGGGTTGTGAGCTGGTTGGGGCATGCAAATAAATAATCTTATTTTTAAAAAGCCTTGATGTTATCTTCACTTGGCATTCATATTTTTTCCAAATTGGAAGGACATTGCCTCATAACACATGGCCTGCGATTTCATCAATTCCCATGAGGGCAGAAAGCTGTATCTCACAGGCCAGCAGGAGAACCTCGATTTGAATAACAAATAAGCCTGAGTAAAGGGACAGATGCCTCTGACAAGTTTTTTTATAGGATTCTAAAATCTTTCCTATCAAATGGTGACCAATGTTCGGGATTCTCTTACTGACACAACAACAAAACATTTACTGTATCACTGGCATGTGAAACAGTACAGCAGAATGAGAGGTAGCTCTTGTGCCTGATACAACATTCAACGTACAGCTCCTGAACTTAAGAGGTGGATTTTATGGTATGTAAATTATACTTCAATAACGTTGTTTCAAAACATTCAGGTTCCCACTCATGGCCATCGAACTTCAGTAGCAGCATAAGTTTAAGGAGAATTATACTTTCCAACAGTGTTGTCTTCTACCTTGTCCCAGGCTCTCAATATAGTTTCACACTTTTATTTTATACCTGAATCAGAGAGTAATATTAAACTGAATTTCCTGGTAACATAATTGACAGCTCAAAGCTAGAGTTCAATCTTTCCTTGAAAAAATAGCATATAATGAAAATTTTTAAATGCTCAAGAAGAAAGTCCCCACCCAGAATTATAAACGTCATGGTGTTCAGAATCTATTCTCAAAACAAAATCTCAAAGCCACTCAAAGTGTCTTAACAGCTTAATTCTATTTCAAAAAAATTATAAACTGCAAATGCTCACTTTACTTCCACTCCTCCCAGCTGGAGGTGGAAGAGATTGTTTGGGGACGTAAGAACAAGTCTTGTGCCAAGTAAGGAGGGAAGGGGGGCTCGATAAGGCTTGGACCCGGTGCTGAACTCCCAGCACCTGCTAAAAGCCCTGCTTTCCTGCTCCAGGGACGTCAGTGAGCAAACACAGACGCAGCTGCACTCTAACACGATTTCTCAAACGAGAGCATAATAAGGCAGAGTTCATGTCAGGCCCTTATGCTCCTGGGATGAGCTCTGATGCAACAGAGAAACAGTAAACTATTTCTGTTGCTAGTAGCCTAGCTTAGGAAAAAAAAAAAAAGAGAAAAGGTTTGTTTGTTTAGTTCCAACTTAGGTCTGTATGTACATTTGTTTGGTACAAAGTGTTTTTAAGCAACTTTGACTTTATTTAAGTTCATCTTTGTTTAACCTTACGGTGACATCCTGACTGTGATTGAGGGTTATGGGCAGCATGTTCTCTTAAAAAGCACAACGTAGGAAACCAAGTTACAAACCAGATGGGGAAATTAGCCCCACAGACAGTAAGTCCAGAAGAAGCTCAGAGAATGTGGCTGTAATATAGGAAATGCATCAGAAAATTATAGTAAGTTCATAAATGAGGCTTATCTACAATATAAATCTGTCAGTTAGCAAAAAATCTCCCTGATCCAGAGTTTCCCAAATATTTTGGGCTCGCAGATACCTTCCAGGATCAGGTGCAAGATCAAGTCCTTTCCAAGATTAATGCAGATGCCAGAAGAAAAGTGTACGTTCCCAGAGCCTTCTCTGTACCACGAATGCCTAAAAGTGACAATTTCTTTGACTTCTGCTAAATGAGCCAAGTCGCTCACACTTTGACACAGATCAGACTGTTCCCACTGGTGCAGGGGAGGAGATGTTTGCAGCTCTGCTACGCAACAGAAAGGTTTGTTGCCCTCGGGCTTTCCCTGTGGGAAGGTTTACTGTGGGGCGGCCATGCCAACTCCGCAGTGAATACAGGGCCACTCCACCCCATCTCCGTACCTTCTCGTCTCATTTTGCTTCCACCGACCCTCTCGGTTAAAATAAACCTAATTGCTCTCCTGTGCTCAGACAAGAGCAATTCAGTTACTATATCCTCTTTTTGTAGCCCAGGTTCATGCTCACCATCTGCTACAGCAACTCAGCTAAATAATTTCCCCCAACATCTCCCTTTCTACGGGGAACTGAGTTCAACTGTTAGCAGAATACAGCGTTTTGCTCCCTAACCTGGAGGGCAGGACCATCAGGGCGGAGGCCCGCAGACCAGTGCCAGCCCTTTTTTATCAGGAGGAATTTCACCGCAGACTTCCGATGCTCTCCCAGATAGCATCAGAGAAAGGAAGGCCACAGGGAAACATGTGCGAGGGGATGATTACAGCAGCCCTTCCCTGACAACGTGGCGAGTCTTGACGCGCCCTCACATTCCAGGGTGCCCGAGGTTCACCCGTTCCAGCACTGGGCTGTGTATTTTGCAAAGGCTCAATTTTTGAGCGTGTCATTTGACATCCAGTCAGTTTTGGCAGGTAAAGTGATATCCACCCTACCACACTTACCTCCTTCTCCTAACTTGTTACTCAAACAGAAAAAATCATACAGAACAGCAATTTGACATGCGCGCGGCCACCCAACACAACAGATGTTTTAGGAGGAGATTCGGCAGAGTTTCCCGTGTCCCGTAAACAGCAGAGAAGTGAGTTTACATGCGGAAGAAGTGCAGTCCTTTCAGCAATGTGATCGTCTCTTATTAAGTAACACGTAGCTGTTCCATGATTCATATGACTTTTTTACCAAAGCACGTAGATTTCACTTTAACTGTTATATCTGTGCTTTTGCTGAGGCACAAGAAAACCCACAAATCTGTTACCAAAACTTTCTTACAGATCCAGCTCAGTAAATTTTCTGCAAGAACTTTCTCTTCCTGCCCTCATCTCACAGTGAGGATTTCAGTACTTTACCCTCATTAGCCTCAAGACATAGAAAAGAGTCTCTCTGATTTAAAACAATAAGAATATTTATTTGATAGCTAAACTGAACAAGCAGGTAAACCATGGTTTTTTTCCCTTGCACACTGAAGACTAATAATTGTGCAGTTATTGAGGGGATTAAATAAGTCACTACACACAAAGTACTTAAAACAAAGCCTGGCATTAAGGTGAAGTCCTAATAAATGCTGAATAGTGTACAAATATATTGTTATAAAAAATTACCTCAAAGTCCTTAGGGACAGAACTGTTTTCTGTTTTGTATTCACCCTGGTAACAAAGGGGAGAGGCTCACCATTACTTCTCTTTTGGTGAATATTAAGTAAGCAAAAAAATGATGTTCAAGTGATATTCAAACAAAGAATAGTAAATTTTCCACCCTCTCATTTTCAGTTAATTTTTATATATCCATGTTTTTCCTAATCTCTAGAAGTCTGCAAATTGGTGAATTAAAAGAAAATTCAATTATTCATGCTGAATATGTGTTGTAATGAGAAACATTAATCCATAGATGCTTCTGAGCTATAAAATTGGCAATAAAAATCAAACAATTTATTTGCAATTTAGGAATTAACCATACTTTGCTGGGCACAATCGCACACACCTGCATTTTTGTGAGTATCACACGTAGGATCATGTAGTCATTACACCCATGGATAATGCATGTCCTTATTTTCCCTTCAAAAACATTGGCAGAAAAGTGCACATTATACATGGTGAAATACAATAAATCCACTTCATTCTAAGTGCACAGATGTAAAATAACTAACTATATTAGTAAAAACATACTCCAGTACTCAACTCTCGATTGCCATTACGACCAGCTGTTACTGAACATATCTGACATTTTCTTCTGTGCTATGGCTCTGTGTTTAGAGGCAGAAGAACACTTAAATTATTCTTTACATATTAACAACTTAGAATAGCGAACATTTTGTAATGGACCTGAAGTGAGAAAACAGTTCTATGAGTACTGCCAATGATTACTCACTCAGTATCTTTCGAATATTCTTAGCTGTTTTAGAGTAAATCCTTCAGCCATTTGCCTGCTCTGCTACTTTGTCCATTGAGAAAAGGCCCTGTATGCACATGCTCTCACCTCCGAGTCAGGGCTCCCCTCTGAATACCCTTTCTCACTAATGGCACTGTATTCCTTCAGCCATTTAATCCTGAAACCCCCAAAGACTTCCAGGAGGTTGAGAAACACAGTTAATATGTGCACTCCCTCCCCTATTACTAGCCATGTAATTTGCTTCTCTGTCCCTCACACTCCTCCTCTGCAGAATGAGGGTTCTAATCGTACCCTCCTCATAGAGTCATAAGGAGGATTCAATGAGTAAATACATTTAAACTGCTTAGAAGAGTGCCTAGTACACATCAAGCCTCAGTAAATGCTCGCCAGTACCACCATCTTTCATCTTCCACAGCAACACGCTGACCAGATGCCTCTCACATCGACTCCAGCCTTCCCATCCTCAAACCCGTTCCTCGGTCCAGGCCTCTTTGCAGTCATCCACTTCCTTCTCCTACTCATGACTCATTCACTTACTTACTTATTTATTCCCCAGATATTCAGTGAGAGATTACAATACTCCAGGAAATGTTGTAGGCCTGGGACTACGGCAGAGAGTAAAACAGACCTAATCTCTGCTACCGTGGAATTAATTTATTAATTAGTCCCGTGGAATTAGTGACCCAGTGCAGGGGTCAGCCAACTATGTCCTGTGGGCGAAATCTGGCCCACCACCTGCGGTCGTGAATACAGTTCTGTTGGGTTACAGCCACACCCATTCATTTGTGGATTGTCTGTGGCTGCTTTCAATCGTGGCAGGGTTTGAGGTATTGCAAAAAGTCTTTATGGCCCATAAAGCAAACTTTAAACTGCCAAAGTTTGGCAATGCCTGCTCTAGTGGAAAAGATATAGTAAGGCCCCACCAAAATTAAACTTACACCACTAGAGAGTTTATTGTTACATTATGGAGTCATCGCATACATAAAATTAATATTCTTAAAATATGCCTCATCCTTCACATCATTCCTGTCTGTCACTTAAAAGCCACCCTACGTTGGCCTGCTATTCAAAGCCCTGCAGCTCTGGTCTTCTCTACATCTTCTACTGCTCCTCACCCTTGCAGCATTCACTCATGTAGGCAGGTCTCACTGCCGAAGCCTTCCCCGACTCACTAGAATTGCTCAGGCACCCTTTCCACAGGCTTCCACGGTACTCATTTGCACTTGTCACATTGTAGTAACATCGTCTGCTTACTAATCTGATCTCCCCCCAAAACAGCAACTTCGTGAGGCCAAAAATAAGGCCTGATGTGTTGTGAAATCCTCAGTGCCATGTACACTGACAGTTAGCCTGTAAAAACATGCAAAGTAGGTTTACAGTTGCTTGTATGGAAAATAATACAATATTTATTAAATGATGATGCAAGAATAAACTCTGTTTCATGTACTCACAACTGTAAACCTACTTCTGCCTCACTTTGTATATAAATATATTCTTTGAATGAATGCATATCTACCTCTCTTTTTTTTCTACTTTTCCCTCTTTATGGACACCCCACCTCACAACATACGCTTCTCCAAAACCTCCTCCTCATTGGGGCAGGAGAGTACTTTTGTAGTTAAAGGAAGAAGTGTTAATGAAGTAATTTCAAGGGTAAAAAATGTTACACAAAATGGAAAATAACAAAAAACTATATGAGATATTTTATTATCTACATTTCATAGGGTTCTAAAGAAGCCAGGGAAGAAAGATCACTCTAATAAAAAATCACTCTAATAAAAATCACTCTTAAAGTATAATTTAAGGAAGTAGTATATTGTATTTGAAAGTGATTTTAAGTGATTTTTAAAATCTTTGTACAAACAGCTAATTGCTTCAGACCTAAAAATCTAAGAAGAATTATATGAGGATTTATTTAATTTAAGAGCTATTTTAAATAAGTTATGGAATCTGCACTGTATATTATGCTTAATGTGATTTAAGCTATACTTAACATAAAAATAAATATTTATCATTGCCAAGTCTGTCTATATGCAATGAGATTAATTTCATTCTTCCCCTTTTTCCAAGTAATAAAATCAAACCACTAGATGGCGCAATAATCATAAAAAGTAATCATATTAGAATTTTTATATAAAAATTCTGTAATATTAATTACTATGGTTTTTATTTTATGAAATGGGTAAGACACTATTTTGTATAAAATGTCTTTACATATTTTATGCTTTGTGATTGTCAAACAATAATCAAAATCATGTAATTTTGTAGCAGGTTGTGTATTTTATTTTCTCCATTTGGAAACGTTAACAACTTTTCACACTTTTATTTTGCACAACTACTAGTTCAGCTACAGTCAGCAGAGAAATTTTCTTTCGTCCTGACCCTCATAAACACCCCACATAATGGCATGACAATATCCTCAGAGATCTTTGTTTGCTGTTACCATTTCATGTACGTGCCTCTGCCTCTGTCTGTAAATTCCAGGCGGATGAGAATTTTTGTTTTAAAATCCTCACCAGGAGAACACGTGCATTGGTGAAGACGTGGCATGATGCTCATTACGTTCTCACCCTCCGAGTATTTCCCCAGGCCGGCTGCTGGGTTCCGGCCGCACTTCTCCATGCCGTGCCCTGGGCTCCTCCGCAGGCGCGGCCCAGCGGTGCTGTGCGGTACCGGCACAGCCGTCTCAGCCGGGCCAGAGCTCGCGCCTCGCACGTCTTCAGCTCATCCCGACGACCTAAGGCAGTGCCATGAACATAGCAAACACTAAAACAACAACAGTAATAAGTTTCGATGAAGTATAAATTTGATTAAACTGCCCAATACCAAAGGGAAATATGGGAATTTGAAATTAATATGCTCTTTTTTTCTTTTTTAAAGCAACTTTATGGACACATGATTGACATACAAGAAACTTTTTCCTCAAATTCAATACCTCAAATGTATCACGATCATTTCCGTCATTTATAAATACTCTTGCTTTTTCTCTTTTTTCTTGCAAGCCACACAATTGCAGTTTTTTTCTATGATCATTCCTTTATCATACCATACCTGATCTAAGAATGACTGACCCATTCTAATGTATTTTTTGTATGTCTTTAATATATTGCTTTGACTTTTATGGAACACTTTCCTTTTTCCTTGCACAACATTTCACATTCATTTATGTGGATGTGAATTACATTTTTTTAAATCCTCACCCATCCCACAGAGCTCTCCTGGCCACTGTGGATGAGAAATAAGTTGTCCCAAACACAATCTTGTTGTTCTGGCAGGAAAGAGTGTAGCTATTCCTTCTAGTGGGGAATGTCCCAACCCCTTCTCCCAAATGGCTTTTATTGCTAATGGTATGTGTAGGGGTATACAGTATACAGGCATAGCTTATCAATCAATGTCAAAAGGCTGCAGTCATACAAAAACAGGTATTATTTATAAGTAACAATTGAAGGCACACAGAGATTTGTCATAGGTCAGGGCCTGTTAGTCATGCCAGATGGTCTTTACTCCTGATGCCTTGAACTTAAACGTCTGATTTATACCAACAGGGCTATTGCTAGGCAGAGAAAGCTTTAAAGGATAGAATGTCCATTTCAGGCCTGATTTCCACAGGAACCTTAGAATCAGGGCATGCCTACAACCTGCGTTACCTGGTTCTCCAGGGAGACTCACTATGGGGCTATAGCCTCTGAAACCACACAGAGCAGTTCCCAACACATCTGAAGTTTTTCTAAATTTTTTACCTGCTAACTGAAATTATTTTGCTGTACTCTTAATTACATTTTTTTAAATCCTCACCCAAGGATATGTTTATTGATCAGAGAGCCAGAGAGAGAGACATGAATGGGAGGGAGAAACATCAATTGGTTGCTTCCCATATGATCCCCAACAGGGGATGGAACTTGTAACCTAGATATGTGCCCTGACTAGGGGTCAAACCCACAACCTTTTGGTGTAAGAGACAATACACCAACCAACTGAGCAACCTGGCCAGGGCTGAAATCAATATGTTCTTGATGAACGTGCGTAGGCAGACACTAACTCATTTTTATTTTAATAAACAAGGATTGGGTCAATAAAAAGCAAGACATCTATAAAATGGTCCATATTTTCAGTTACATACACATCTCTTTTTTCAGGAGCATTCTCGTTCACTGGTGATGGGAATGTAAACTGGTGAAATTGTTATGGAGGGCAGGCTGGAAGATGTTTCCAAAGCCTAGAAGTCATGATAATATTTGATAATAAAAATACATCTGCTCATGTAAATATAAATAAAAAATAAATCCTGTTTTACTCGAGGAGAAAGCAGGAAATTTGCCTATGTTGACCTTGGAATTAGTTGACAGAAAAAGATATGAAAGAGCAAAAGGCCAAGAACAGTCAAGACACTTCTGGACAGAAGAACAAGATTGCAGAACTTGCCAACCTAGATATCAACACCAGTTATGAAGTCGGAGAAATTAAGACACTGTGGTATTGGCACAAGGTTAGACCAACAGGCTAATGGACAGGGCAGAAAGGCACAGGACCACCCATAAACGGACCTGGCTCCTCAGTGGAAAACGATGAACGATTGAAAAAAGATTGCTAGGATCATTGGCCACCCAGATAGAAAACTGTGATACAATCTCTACCCCTTTCAACCACAAAAGGTAATTTCTGGTGTATGAAGACTTAAAATGCAAAAGGAAAAATCTATAGTAGTTTTAGGAGACACCATATTGATAAAATATCTCTCCAAACTTGGAATAGGGAAATATTTCTTAAATAAGTCACAAAAAATGTAAACCATAAAATACTGAAATTTCAACTACACAAAAAACAAGAATTCTTCTCACACTGACAAATGATGCAACAGGTACGTGTATCAACATGGGTGAATCCCAAAAACGTAGTCCTGAGAGAAAGACAGTAATTGAAGAATACATGCAGTATCATTACATTTATATGAAGTTGAAGAATAAGTGAAACTGAACACTTTTCTTCTAGGGGTTTTGTGGTTTCAGGTCTTCAAAATTGTGTTTTCTGGTCTTTAATCCATTTCCAGATAATGTTTGTGAATAATAATAAGATGAAGGTCTAATTGCATTCTTCTACATGTGAATATCTAATTCTCCCACCATTTTTTATTTTTATTTATTAATTTCTTTATCCTCACCTGAGGAAAAATTTTTTTCATTGCTTTTGTAGAGAGAGGAAGGGGGAGAGGAAGGGAGAGAGAGAAACACTGTTGAGAGAGAGAACCATCATTTGATTGCCTTCCACACATACCCCGACCGGGGACCAAACCCATAACCCCAACATGTGCCCTGATTGAGAATCAACCTTGCAAACCTTCAGGTTAGGGGACGACACTCCAACCAACTGAGCCACACCAGCCAGAGTAATTTTTCCCAGCAATTTTAATGTTAAATTTGCTTAGAGAAAGTAGTGGAAAGATACATGTTAAGTGCTAAAAATGTCAGTCTTGCCATGGTCTTTGGTTTATTCTCAATTTTATGAAACTCTTACCTATCATTTCTGTAAAATGATCAAGGCCGTTAATGATGGTTGCAGAGTGTTCATTGTCCTTCCCCCCTCTGCTGCATGGCTTATAAATGGGTCACACAGATTGACCTGCCTAGAGGACACTGTATGAGCTGCCTTTAATTTCCAGAATCTATGGGGATTCTTTCAGCCTAATGGAAAAAAAAGAAAAAACAAGATTAAAGAGACTTCTGTTTGCTACTTGCCTTATCTTGACTTGCTGGCATTAGAAATTGTACTATTGGTAATGCCTTTTAACTACCCAGCAGCACGGTTAATGTCATCTATGTCTTCAGTTTACCAGTAAGCAAGGACCACCGTAATGAACTGAGAGCAAGTGACTGACACAGGAGTCATGGATGTATGTATTCAGAGAGTAATTCACTCAGCTCTCTCACCCTCTTTTTATACCTGCTTAGGAGGAGTCGTCCTTTGCTTGATCCTGGATTAAAACATGGGGAAGTCAGTCAAATTTTCTGTTTTGACTCCATTAATAGACACTTTAATTCACAAATACACTCTCAGTTCATTCATTCAAAGGGTCTACTTCAAAATGTTAACACTCTACCCTGCAACACTAAATCTAACTAGGGCTTACAGCACGAGTGGGAAGTCTCTGAAGGAGGTGCAAGAGAGCTGCGGCCGGCCTCTCCGTAGTCCAGTGGCCCCCGACTCGCTCCCCACACCACACGGGAATGGGCTTCGTTCACTCACGCTGTTGTCCGATGGTCTAGTGCTCTTCAGACCTGGTGAGGATTTAAATCTGACGCTTCCTCTTGTGTGCCCTGATGTAGGGTGGACAGATTTAGGGGGGAAAATACAGGACACTTAAGATAAATTTGAATTCCAAATAATTAACAAACAATCTTTAGTATATGTCAAACATTGCTTATTTGAAAGTCAGATATTGCACAGGATATACTTATACTAAAAATGTATTCATTGTTTATCTGACATTTAAATTTCATTACGTCCCCTGCATTTTATCTGTCAATTCTCCCTTTAGTGGATCCATCAGAGACTCCGGGCTGGGCTGCTCCCAAGATCACTGTGTCGACCCAGACAAAATATCTCTTCAAACTGGGCTCTCAGTTTACCTCTCAGATTCTGCCTCAGTAATTAACTGACTACCTTCACTGCCAAGTTCTCCTCAGCTACCACAATATCCTCTGGCCAAGATTTCTTTTGTATGTCCCCAAATCAATCCCAACTCAGAGGGCCACAATTCATCCCTGGGCTTTGTTGCCATGGGCTTCATCTCTGCAGGGGTTTGCAACCTCCTCTGCAGCCCAGGACCCAAGGGCACAGAATGTGCATCAAGGCTTAGGGTCAGGAATCAGCAACTCCATTCCCAGCCGTCCTCCTTGACGGTGCCGTGGGGTGAGGACAAGGACTTAAATGCTGTCTTGTCCAAAGAAATCATTCTTGCAAAATTCTCTTTCAATTTCGACATCCTGAACCTTTTAAAATCCTTGATATGGATGGAGTCCAGTAATCTCATAACCAGTGACGATCTTTGACAATTTGGATCTTGGTAGTTTGAATTACAATTCATTTTGATAATCTCAGAACCTCAGCCAAAATTGCCATGGTAACCTCAGGACAATTGACACACCGGTGTATATCTGTCTCTACTCAAGTGCTCAAATCATGTGGTCTTTTTTTTCAACCTGCAGCTGTGACTGCCCCACTGGGTGGAAAGGAGCCTTCTGCACAGAGACAATTTCCACCTGCGACCCTGAACATGACCCTCCACACCAGTGCAGCAAAGGAGCAACTTGTGTCTCACTGCCTCATGGATACACCTGCTTCTGTCCTCTGGGAGCCACTGGAGTCTACTGTGAACAAGGTGAGGCGGAACTTCAACTCACGCTGTCCACAGATTTAGGTCACTTTCCTCTTGGGAAAGTAAAGTGAACTACGAGGTCTGTCCAGAAGGTGTCCAGCCATGTAATATAAAAAATAGAGACATTTATTGAAAAAAATAAAGAAACATTTTATGTAGACAATGAAGCCTCAGCCTCCTTCAAAGTAGGCACCTTGGAACCTTACGCAAGTTCTCCCAAAGGCCATCAGGTACCCCGTCATATTTTCCTGAATCTCACTGTTGGTCTGAAGTCGTTTCCTTTTCAAAAGTGATTTTTAGTTTCGGGAAAAAACAGAAGTCACAGGGTGCCAGTTTGAGCTGTAGGGGGCAGACTGAGACACCCGGATGATCTGACGTTTTGCAAGAAAACTGCATGAGATGCGATGCATGAGCAGGTGTGTTGTTGTGATGAAGCTGCCAATCACCAGTTGCCCATAGCTGTGGCCTTCTGAATCATTCAATAGTTCCCACGGAGGAGTATTCAAGCTTAACACAAAATTTGATGCAGAATTGTTGCTCTACTCCCTCAGTCATTTTTAATATGATGGCTACACAGTGCACATGCTCACTCAACTGCTTCTATAGCCCCTACTGACTAGGACAGTGAAGTCATCATTGTTCACGCATGTGCATTCCAGTCCATTCTTCTTGGCTGCCAGGTTACATCTATGTCACACAAACCATTCTCATTATGTTAACAATGGCTGGACTTTTTTCCAGACAGACTTCGTATATATCATAACAAAAGGCTCCTCTTTTTTCTTCCTAGTGTATATGGCATTATATTTCATAGATAAGATAGTCTTCACAGTTCATAGAAAAATACAACTTTGCTTTTAGAATGGTTTTATTAACTCTAAAATATGTCTGTTTAGTCTAAATGTTCTAGGCGTTTTATGCTATATGCAGTCCGATTGAGTGCACTTGTGTTCATAACTCAATTCCAGAAGAAGGTGAGCCTTCTCTGAGCTTCTCCCTCTGTACCTTCCACTTTACTCAAAACTCTCAGGAGTAGCAAGAGGCACATACATTAGTTCCTGTGCAAAGAACGAAAAATTTCGAGGATGAAACTGCCCAAGTCCAGTGGGAACACTAAGAAACTCAATTTTCTAGATCTCATCTGCTTTGCTGTTTTTCCCTGTACCTTATAATTGACCATATTCTTACCACAAGGGCAAATGATCGCTGTGCCTGTAGGGGATCCCCACAGTCTCCTGAATCTTGGAATGAAAAATACCCATTATACATTCCAATGTAATAGTTCCAAAATAATAAAAATGGATTATGACAGTTTTCAAGAAATAGTTCTTGATTTTTAGTGAACAACAAAGTACCCAAAACTTTAGCAAAACAGTGTACCACTATAACTTCTGAAGGAATACTTACTAGAACCTGAAAGAAATACTGTATTTTGCTGTGTATAATGAGCACCCATGTTTCTGGCCCAAACTTTCAGGGGAAAAAAATCTTTGTTTAAAATTTTTAATTCAATTATTTACTTACTTATTTGTGTATACTTAGATACTTGGGGGTTTATTATAAACAAATTTTAGCACTTATTTTTTAACATATTATGGTACAAGAAATTTTATGTAACAAATAATTACAAAACACAAGAACAGATACAAGGTATTTCAGGTACTACCCATGTATAATGCACATCCTTATTTTTCCCTCAAAAATTTGGACAAAAAAGTGTGCATTATACACAGCAAAATTCGGTAATTGAACAAGTTAGCGTAAGGGCTAGTGATGGCAACAATAGGGCAGGCCAGATTTTTGACGCTTAAAGGCACAGTGGGTGATAAACAAATTCAGTAACACTCTAGTTGTAGATCTCAGCAGTCCCTCATAAAATAGCCGTTCCTTAAGTAAATATAGCATAGGAACTAATGATGTAAAGGTAACATTTTTATCAACAACTATCATACTCTAATTGTCTAAGAAAGCATAATCATTAAAAACCAAGTATCTCCAAAACTAAAATTTTGCTTTAAATAAGTTTTCAAAGGTTAGGGTTGAAAAGAACCTTAAAAATCACTTAATCCCAATTCTTTTCACCTTGAAAGAGGTTCAAATCAAAACTACAAATGAGCAGGACTGAGGATTTAAGCCTTCACACTGCCAATCCAGTAAGTTCCCCGTGACACTGTATCAGTTATATTTCACAACCAAAACATAAAAACTAGCAGTCACAGGAAATAAGTGGAAAATTATACATCTATGGTGTGTAAAATAAGTCGATAAAATGTCCTCGTCCCTGTGCTTTAAATTGTCTTAGGTATTTGAAGTATGTGTGCATGTCTGAGAAGGAGGTTGGGGGAAATTTTTCATACCGGCGTTCCAATTTAAGTAGTGAAATCTTACTTCATCTACGCCTTACTCCTGGAATGACTCAGTAATGGAAAAAATGTGATCCTTCAAGTCCCTTAAAACACTCACCTACAGCTGACAGAAAGAAAATTCATTTAAAGACGAGAGAAGGACAATTCCTGATTGGCATCTTTTCTTCTCACTATTGCCTCATCTCAAATTTCTCTGGAATGCCAGGGAGGTCTGGTGCTGTGCTAATAAAATACAAATAGACGAACCACTTGAATCCAGTGGCTTTAAGAGTCACAGCCACCAAAAGTGATTCAAAATATTTGAGCCCCGTCCCAGAAGTACATGAATCCACAATGTTCACACTGTCTCGCCCAGGAACGAGCTCAGATATGTGTTTTTAAACACCCAGGGGCCTGAACCAGCTTTAAAAATGAAACTAAAGATAAAGAAGGCTGTTTGCAAACAGCAGCATCTGGGCTATTTCACAAGGACTGTTAATCTTAAAAAGAAACCGGGACATCCCTGGCTGGGTGGCTCAGTTGACTGGAGCACTGGCCCATACGCCCAAAATGTTGTGTGTTTGATACCCGGTCAGCAACAGATCAAAGTTTTTCTCTCATATTGATGTTTCTCTCCTTCTCCCTCTCTCTCTATCTCTCCCTCCCTCTCTCTCTCTCTTGCTCTCACTCCTTCCTTCTTTCCATCTCTCTAAAAATCAATAAACATATCCTCAGATGAGGACTTTTTTTAAAAAAAGAAAGAAATCATAATATGTTAAACTAGGGTAGAATATTTTGCAATCCACCTCAGTCATTAAAATATTCAATTTAGGCAGAATTCTGGTTTACAATTATTGTTGCAAGATAGAAAATACATCCAGTTTCTTTTCTCATGGACTCGAATCTTGTTCATTTGCTCTTTTCTGGTATGTTATTGCTCTTTCCTGTTAGAATTTATGATTCACAACTACCTATATAACATTTTCTGAATCATACAATCTCTCCTCTCAATTTATTTTTTTGCACATTATTGTAAATTGCTTTTTTCTTGGAACAGTTTTATACTACTAAATTCTAGCTATTGCGTATCGTTGACACTTAGCCAAATGAGATTTCATAATATGTGTGTTTTTAACTTTTAGTCCAGCAAATATTGAAAATGTTTCTGTTTTTCTTACATTCTTTCCATTCATAGTGCAATTTTCCTTCCACTGATTTCTCATTCCTTGAGGTAAAGAAAGCCACGTACATGCCAGCATTTTGAATGAAATAGCCATATGTTAAGCTTCTTAGACAGTCCTTGATTCCAAAAGTACTTTATGATTCACCTAGCCCTAATTTTCATTGCAATTAATTTAAGCTAATGGAGAACTTTAATTCTTCAAGCCTTTCTCACACATAGTGCTCTCCTGCCAACTCTTTGGTTTTCCTAGTAATGGAGAGATGGCACTATAGAGGGCGATTTCAGAAATCACCACTGTGTGCTGTTTTCAGATGCTCATTTGCAGGTGCATTTAGTCATGTGGGAATACGGCAGGTAATACACAAGCTTTCTTCAGAGGAAAAAAAAGACATACTTTAGTCTTTACTTCCTCACTTTCAATCCCAACATGATGATTAGTAAGTATGTGGTCACATGCATACTAGGTCCCCTATTTCTACAATTTGGTAATACTTCTTAAAAGTAAAAAATAAATAAGTGCTAGATATGATTCCTAGAAACACACGTTTTAATTGTTTAATCTTCTTTCTGTGTTTCTCAATACAACCTATTAAATCATAAATGAAACTCAGTGAGAAAGTGAATAATATGTAACAATGCTAAGGTTTATATAAACATTAAGCTCCTTGAATATCAGAAGGCATTCCTGGTGAGTCTTAGTAGAAAAGAGATAGACACAAGTGCCATTTCCTAACCTTTGATTTGGACAAGAAAACTTCTCATATGTGAAAATCTTTGCTGTAGGGGAAATTTTGGCCAAAGTCCAGGGATAGTCCATTCTCCTTGCCAAGTACTAAATCAATGATTACTACTCTTTATAAGGTTGTAAGAGGAAGGTTAAAAACTAAGAGACAGGCATCGATGAGATGTTTTCCTTCAACAAAGTTCTTTTTATTTCTTATGCAAGATAACATTAGTAAACAGGAAGCACTCACAGTGGATTCAGCCCACTACTGTTCTACAGGTTGAACTGTAAATACCCAGTTTACCATCTTAGGAAGGCAGCTCTGCCCGCCTCCTTTAAATCTGAGATGATTGACAGTGATGAGATCCAATCACAAACTTTACTTTCTAATGTGGAAAACAGAGATATGCTCCCTCTAGTTTCTAATAGAAATATTAGAAAGTGCCAAGAGAACTAACATTCTTATGACCATAGTAGAGGTTATAAGAATCCTCATAGTAGAGGATATAAAATATCTCATTATTTCATGTCCTTCTTTTGTTAAATTCTATATAATTTATCTAAGAAAAATAGAAAAGCAAACCTTACTATATTGTGCTCTTCTAGTAAACAAAGAATCTCACAGCAGTGGTCATGAAATCCCTATGGTCTGAGAGGCAGAATTCTCTACGTCTCCTAGCACAGCCTCATAATGGTTATAACGAGGCATCAGTGCAAAAGAGGCCAGCCCAGGACCTAGCCAAAAACAAGCACTCCTGAATATTAGCTCCCTCCTACAAGGAAAGAAAAAAAAGTGTTAGCTTGCACTCATTTTAAATGTATATCATGTCGACAAATAGATTCTAATCACTTTCGTTTTTAAAATATGAATTAGTTTTAAACAGATTCTTAAGTTAAAATATTTAAACCTCCTATTTTTAAAAGATGATTTTTATTATATAAAGATCCAAAAAAAGTTCAAACTTATGAATGGAATAGACAGACACTTGCCTCTCAAAATGACCCAATAAATTGTTTTTTAAAAAGAAAAGCAAGCCCTGGCTGGTGTAGCTCAGTGGATTGAGCTCAGGTGGCAAAGCAAAGGGTTGCTAGTTCAATTCCCAGTCAGGGCACATGTCTGGGTTGCAGGCCAAGTACCAGTATGGGGCACATGAGAGGCAACCACACACTGATGTCTCTCTCCCACTTAAAAAAAAAAAAAAAGAAGAAAAGAAAAACAATACTTATCCTCTACAGAAATATAGCAGATTATTAAAAATTTTTACTGAGAAACCACTCAGGCTGCCACAGACCAGCCGCAGCAGGGTCCAGGGATTCCCGAAAGGTGGGTAAGGCGTCGGCGCTGGGTAACAGACGACAACACGCCTCAAAGGACAGTGAAGCTCTGTTCCATTTATTGCAAGTACAAGCAGGCTTTTATATTTTCATTTTAGGTAGTGATTAACATTTGCAGTATAGCATGATCAGTTAAGCAGAAAAAATCAATATAAAGGTAACCAGGAAAAGTACAAAAGTCCCCATAGATTCAGATATAATAAAAAAGATTATTTTGACTAGGAGAGCCATAAATCAGACAATTAGAAATAGCTGTATGTACAGAATTTGAATGTCTTCTTGTATACTAAAGTTCTCAGAATTTGTCATGGGGCAAAAGGATACACTAGATTGAGTAGAGGTAATAGGAAATTTATTATAAGGCCTTTGTGATGTCTAACTTAGCTATCTATCCTTTTCTGTCTAAAATGTTTCTTTCTCTGTGTACTATAAACTCTGACTCCCTAGTAACTGTTTCTAGGTACTTAGTTCGTAATAGCTTTTTTTGCCTGTCTAATTCTAATTGATATATATTCCTATTCAAGGTAAAGGAGGGGCTATTACTCCAACAACTTTTAGACATACAGGGACTTCGTTCTCTGGTCAAGAAATTATTTTGTACAACTTCATTGGAATTATGCTAATCAATTAACCTGAAATACAAGTGTCTAACAATCCCAGCACCTTTTGATCACCAAAACAAACATGTAAGGAAAGATAGACAGGAAATCTAGCCATAGTTGCCTCTGACTTGCAGATGCATCTCAACCGTCCCGACCTTGTCAAGGGACGGTTGCTGGCCGGCTCCCAACATCAGGCAATATGGGGAAATCCAAAGCACTATAAGATAAGTTTCCTTCTTTCAAAGAGCTAACAATTTAGGTACAGACCAGGCAAAAGTCTGTTAGAACTAAATTAAAGTATGTAATTTAGATAACAGTGAAGAGGGAAAAAAAGGAAGAAATATCCCAGGGTGTTGAACACTTTAATTGTTAGAAAAATTGTTAGACAAATGTTAGACAACTTGCATTACTTCTGGCTAATGGAACCTGAGTAATTAGAAAGCAATGACATAAGTTAGGTACCAAAAAATTGATAAAATTTGGATAGACTCATGTGGGATGGTGAGGTAGTTTTTCTAAGACTGAGAACCACTTCAGCAAAATCTGAGGAAGAATGCAAGGGTGCACTAGCAAAGGTGAGTAAACCTCTTCATCATAAAAGGAAATTTATGTCAGGTAAGATCCGAGTTATTCATGTGCCTCTGAGAAAAAAAGATAAGGGAGCAATGCCAGTCACCGTGGATTTAGAAATCGTCAGGACTTGCTTACTGGGCTGGAGGGGGTGTTCAGTTTCCACTTGTGAAGTGGGAGGTATAATTATTCAAGGCTTAAAACCTGAATAGCACATGTGCATAATCACTGTAGTCTCCCAGAGTTCTGTAAACAAGCCTCAAGACTCCTGAAACACGCATAAATCTTCCAACTCAAGTTACCTGACTTTATTATTTAAGACACTTCCAAGCAGTACCAGAGACTGCTCACAGCAAAAGATACTTATATTTGAAAAGTGGCTAGAAAGATTAAATACCTCCCAAGAAAAGAAAAGAAAGGGAAAAGAAGGAAATGAATAGGAAGTGACAGAAGGGAAGGACAAGCAAGACCAAACAGGCTAGTCCAAAACATGGCATGCACCTGAGGGTAAAATTAGCTTTGGGTTTCCCAGAAGTTGAAGTAAAATGTAAAATACAGCGGGTTGCTACTCAATTGTTGCCTAATTTTTAAAAAGCATACCAGTCATTACATTAAGGTGTAGCTCATTTGGTTGGGCATCGTGCAGCAAAATGAAGGGTTGCAGGTTCATTTCCTGGTCGGGGCACAGGCCTGTGTTGTGGGGCCTGGTCTCTGTTTGCGAGAGGCAACCAATCGATGTTTCTCTCCCTCTCTTTCTCCAAAAATAAGTAATAAGTAAAATATTTTTTAAAAAGAGCTGGTAACTGTGTCCTGGTCCTAAACTCTAGTAGAAAAAGACTGAGAAAGTTCCAATTTTAAAAATAAAATGAAATTAAACAGTATAATATATGCTATGTTTGATGAGAATTTTCTAGGGAGGAAGAGATGTTATGTATGTAGTCA